TGCTAAAATGTTTGAAGCCCATTCCAGCCTCACCACAAGGCTAGTTCTTCAATTTCCTGTCTGTATGCAGATTCGTCGTGGTCTTGAAGGAGACCAATCACAGTTGTATCTGCAGGGTGGATTTGATTTAAATTAACTTGATTTAAATCAAATTCACCCTGCATCATGATTTAAATCACTAACAAAAAGACTCAATTTAAATCAACTCAATTTAAATCATAACTTTTAAGGGGCAACTGTCACCTCTGCTATGAAATTGAGTGAATGCATCAATGCGGTGCATGTTATCTCAGCTTGCAGAGCTTGGATTCATGGAATGAAGTTTACCAAAAATGTAAATATTGCAGAATATATACAGCCTCGTGCTATATAACTAAGCTCCATTTCATGCTGAACAAACTCAATTATGAATGTATCTCAAATAGAAAACTGTCTTTAGATAGATTTTTATTCCAAAAGCATTTTATTAAAATAAATTTGATTAAAAAAATTTAAAATCTGATTTAAATATTAAAAATCTGACTCTTTTTTAAATCATCGATCTTTATCCACCCTGATCAACTGCAGTACAGGTTGTCCTTGACTTACAACAGAATTCATTTAGTGACCATTTGAAGTTACCATGGCACCGGAAAAAGTGACTTACGACCATTTTTCACATTTATGGCCGTTGTAGCATCCCCGTGGTCACATGATCAAAATTCGGAGGCTTGTCAACAGACTCATATTTATGATGGTCGTAGCCTCCCGGGGGTCACGTGATCCCCCTTGGTGACCTTTGGACAAGCCGAGTCAATGGGGAAGCCAGATTCACTTAACAACTGTGTGGCTCACTTAACAACTGCAGGGTTTCAGTCAACCACGGTGGCAAGAAAAGTCATAAAATAGGGCAAAACTCACTTCACCAATGTCTCACTTAGCGGCAGAAATTTTGTGGCTCGGTTGCAGTTGTAATCCGAGGACTACCTGTACTTTAAGTGTACTTTGAGATGCAGTCATTGGTATATAGAGAGAAGAAAAATGGAAATGCCAGGAATTTAATGGATTAAGGAGACCTCACTGTCCAGCCATTTGTGGAGTGAAAAGGTGTGTTTTTAAAATGCAACCCTGGTTACCAATAGATAACGTTCTCTGTCTGGGTTCATGGAACATACTGAACTCATATTTATGAAACATCTTTTTCTGCAGCATTGGGCCTATTTGGAGGGGGGGGGGATTTCAAGTTTTGCCCTCAGGGAGTGGAGGAATTAAGAAGGTTGTGTGAATTGAACCTCTGAGCTTTTTTTTAAGATTTCTTGCATTCCTTTAAGGTGGCCAAAGATCTCAAGGCGATTTAGCCTGCCTGCCTGCCTGCCTGCATCTATCTATCTATCTATCATCTATCTCTATCATCTATCTACCTATCTATCATCACTATGTCTTTTTTCTGATTCTGTCTTGGTATGCTGTGCTCTATACAGGATTTAATTTTACTTGATGTTAAAACTTGTCAATTAAAATAAGCCATGTTTATTTGACTGGTTTTTTTAAACTTGCACAAAGTTATGTAGGGCAGCTTAAAGCCAGGGATATTCTAGTTTAAAACAACCTTATAAGATATTTCTTCTGTGAAATGGCCCATCTACTTCTAAAAGACGTTCTCTTTTTTTATTTCAGGAGAAAGTATGTTAATTCAGTGGCCTTTTAAATTATTTTATGATTCTTAACTGGGTTCACCCCTTGTAGTCTGCATAACCAGGGTTTATGAAAGTCGTTAGAAGCTACTTAGAAAATACATCCACTGAAATTGGGCAGCATCAAAACTGAATTAATAAATTATATAAATAAAATATGGTCCGGTTCGTGTGTTCGTTGCAACCGGAGATCCGATTTTCCTCTCTTGGAAGTAATTCTTGCCTAGAATGGTTGGAACTGGGGTGGGTGGGGGGCTTATTTGAGGGAGTTTGGAAGGGTACAGATGTGGTTTCACCCATTTCTCGAGCCCCTACCAGCTGTCTCCATTGCCAGAAAGAACAAGGAAATTGGGTGACTTCAGGGAGACATTCATATACCATAAGTTTGGCCCTGCTTCCTTTCACATGTTCATTCGACTTCCTGAGACAGCTTTGGTGATCTCCTTGTGGTCTCGCCTCCAAGTCCTGGCACTGCTCAGCCTCCAGCCAAACACAAGATCAGACAGATGTCATTGCCACACCTGAACCCTAATCCTGTAGCTGTTCTGACCTAGGCTTCCCAAGATCATGAAGCAGACTCCTTGTCCCAATAAAACCCCTTTTATTTAGGTTAAAGTGAATTCCTCTCCAGCAAAGTCCCAGCCAACAGTCTTTCAAGAGATTTCACAACTACAGACCTTTATCAGGCTTGGAGAGTTGCCAGGATGGTATCTTCCAAACACAACACTGTAGCAGAAATTACTTGGCAGGAAGTCAGGAACAGATCTTCACCCTAATGAATTGAACTAATTTTCTCCTGCAAACCCCACCCCCCTTTCGCTCCTCTTTATTCCCTATGGGAGGGGCCATTCACCCTCCACCTGAGCCTTTACTCCCGGGTAGATCCTTGTTCCTTAATTGTTGCATTCTCCTGGCAGCTCTGTGCATGCGCACACTGGGAACAGGCTCCAGCTGCTCTTCTGCCCCACTGATCTCTGACTCCAAAGGCAGCTGATAACTGTCAGACAGCCCTGGCCCCATCTCTGCCTCTGACGCAGAGAACTCGTCAGAGCCTTCCCCAGACTCCAGGACTGGCCCATATTCCTCCCCAACCTACTCATTGACCGAGTCTGCCACCAGCTCTGCTGGCTGCTGGCAGGCCACAACACCCTAATCCTGTAGCAAAGTCAACCTCCCTTCTTGTCTCTCCCTTTGGGCAGCTCCCAGTCAGTCATGACATTGCCCCCGGTGTTGGCAGTGGTTGGACCTCGCCGCGGCAGCATGCCCCTGCCCATCAAACACCAGCTGGTGAGGGCATCAGCAGTGGATGAGCTGGACTCTCCACCGAGTTCCCCAGAGGTCAGCAGCCACGGCGGAACCAGTCCAGCGGCTGGCCAAGGCCCGTACAAAGTCATGCTGTTGGGTGAGAGCGGAGTTGGCAAGATGACATTGGCTACCATCTTTGGGGGCATGAAAGGGCTCACCCATCCTGAGGAAGATCATGCAGGTAAGGATGACCAAAAGAAAGAGTGGTCCTTTTCTATCAAAAGAATCTTTACTCTTTGTTTTGCCGGTTGGGAAAGAACGAGGCACGTGCAAGCAGTAAATATTTTCTAATTTTTAAATAATTATTTTGTTAAACATGGAAATTTTAAAAAGGAAAAGAAAAAAGAAAGGAAAAAAATAGAGAAAAAAAGGAAGAATAGAAAAGGTAGAGTAAAGGAAAAAAGAATATATACAAAGGAAAGACTCCCCTTCATCACACAGGTAAACTATTTTAGTAACTTGTCCCCTTCTCTTAACATACGAAAAATAATGGCTCAGTTTTGTTTGTAAGTCAAGAACTATCTGCATCTAAGGTGGATGAAATCCCCCCCCCCCCCCCCAAAAAAAAAAATCTGGCAATCCCTGCCTGTCTAAAGAACTTCAAACAGTTCTGCCCATCAGGCTGTTTTTTCCCCTCACATAAAAAGGAAACAACTCCTGTTGAATTCCTACCTGCTAAAGTTACATGAAAGTTATGGGAATCTTCCTTTTTTTAAAAAGGAAGGAAGGAAGGAAGAGGGGGAGGGAGGGAGAGAGAGAGAGAGAGAGAGAAAAGAAAAAAAGAAGAAAGAAAGAAAGAAAGAAAGAAAGAAAGAAAGAAAGAAAGAAAG